AACCTAAGAAAACACACGTGGAGCAGTTTCATATAGCAAGCATTTCCCAAGCAGTGCGAATTTCCTCCTGTGCTCTCTCTCTCACATTTTCAAACATTCCTCTCGGCACTGCTATGTTCCAGCCAACTTTTTTCCTGACACAACCGCTTATTCCTTGAGGAGGTTCAGGCAGAGTTTGACATTAAAAAGACCAGTGGTGGAGAGACAGCCAGTGTCCTGGATGTCTGGAAAAAAAGGACTCTTCTTTCATGAATACGTTAACCAAACAATTTGTGTGAAAATCAAAAGTGATCATCAAGTGCCTTTGGAATCATATCGCAGAAAGTTTCAGCACAGAATGAAAAATGCAAAAAAATATAAGAGCAAAAAACGCCCTGAAATTAGTAACGGGGGCCCAGAGTTACACATACAGCTATAGGGGTAACCCTTGTACTGTATTCTGATTTTTGAAGGCGAGATGAGCAACAGCCAAGAATAGATCACATGGGTAAAGCCACTAAATAGGAAACCACAGCACTATTTTAATCAGAAAAGAACAGCCTGAAATCGGTCATCACACATTTATACTTACCGAGTTTGACCGTATCAAAACTGTTCTAGTGCTGCTGCTGTTCAAATAATTATACAATGTAAATGAGAACTTTTTTCCTTTGCTTAATTCCTTCATTATTTATACCTATTTTTTCTTTATTACTGATTTCCTTCTCCTTCCAGGTCCACAGTGTTGGAACTTTGAGTACAGGGAACACACAGCTCCATGACAGTGGGATGTACGGTTCAGAGGAACAGGACTCTCCTCTTTTACAGGGAATGGGACAGAAGTTGAAGGATTTTTAGCTGCTTCTGGTATGATCAGCTTCCAAAACACTTAACCTCTCTTTAGCCTCATCTGTCCACTTTTTTTCTTGCAGAAGACACTGCAAAGATGATTATGCTATAAGAATTAGTAATATGTGATTATTTTTTTTTCTTCTTTAGAAATGCCTTTGGCAGTAGCAATCTCCTCAAACCTCAAATGGGTCCGTTTCTACTCAGAACCAGCACCAAGGACCATGCCCAGAGCATCATCCCAAGCCAGTGGCAAAGTTGAAACAAAAGAAGTTGTTAATTACATAAGCAAGGCTTTCTTGCTTGATTTTTATCTGCAGACAATAAAGCATTGTTTGTCCCAAATCCTGCAGCAGGTAGTCAGCAGGGCTGGGAAAGGACACCCTACCCCTGATCTCAAACAGCTGGATGAGGCTCTCACCTTCCAGGCCCCAGTTAATGCCATTTGCTCATGTTGTAACACCAAACCTCCACAAGGATTCACAAAAGAAGCAAGACAAAAGTCCTCTGGGAAAGCAGCTTTCCAGACCTCTCTTCTGATAGAAACCTACCTGGAGTTTCTCTTCAGCCCTCCCATACCTTGCCTCAGCACCATTCCCTGGCATCAACTATAAACAATCAGGTCTTATCACTCCAGAAGCGGACACTATCAGAAAAACATGCCATTAATTTCAGAGAGTTCAGCTAGTTAAAGGAGGCTCAGTTGAAAAGTAAAATTACTGAACAGGAAATTGGTTCTGTTTTACCTCAAACCAGGATGGTTGCCAAAGAGTATAAATGCATAGACCTGCTCCTCCTACTGTTCTTACCAACTGCAAACAGACATCTTCACCCCTGCACTGAGATCCAAGCTATAACATCACAGACCTTCCTCACAGGGCAGAACAGGGACCTCCCAGCCCCGAGAATGCTCACAGAGACCACCACCTGCCTCTGCCTCTCACCTCTCTCCAACCTGCCTCTGGAAGACAACAGAAACTCCACTTGTTCCAGCTTTCCCAGTTCCTGTTTGCCGTGACTTACATCAAGGACCAACACTACTCTGTGTCACTGGAAAAGGCACAATTTGAAGTGTTGCAGGTCAGTCCTGAACCTCTGTGTCTCCTCCATGCCCCGCACAATGCTCTGATGCAGCTTCACATGAGCAGCGTGTTCCAACTCCCCCAACAAGCAGCTGAGAAAAGTTTGTTGCAACTGCGGAACTGTAAGCACCAACAAAACTTTGTGGAGGTGAGTGCTATAATTTCTAACAGACAGCATTCTTACCTTAAAAACTCCAAACAGAGGTTTTCTGATGGATTATTTACACTCCAAAACATGCATTTTGCTGGTTCTACTCCACATGCTAAAATTTGACTATTCCCGCTCTATTGCTTGTGAGAAAAAACATGAACCAGAAGCCTTTGCCAATAGTGATGCTTGTGCCAAAAAGCTGACAGACAGCCATGGGCAGGTGCCTGTTTCCACACAAAACCAAGGGGGCTGCAGCCCTCGGTGCACACCAAATGCACAGTGCTACATAAGAGGCAGAGTTTCACTATTCACAGAAGCACAGGGAGATTTATTTATTTATTTGCTTATTTTATGTAAAAGTCATCATTTCAGAGTGAGTCAACAGAACCTTTAGTTGACCCCATAATCCAATACACTTTTATAACACCTACTACCTTGAGAGCGTTCTTGTCCTATTGAAACAAGATATTGAGACAAATAGATCCCCAAATCCCTTTACAGGAACCCGATGAGATAAAACCAGTGCCAGCAGAAAGTTCCAGCATGAAAACTAGGCTCTTGCTGAGGGTGAAAAACTCATTTTATGCCCTAACAAATCCTTTTGCTGACGTCAAATCTGGATCAGACTGCACACATGCAGAGAAGACACAGTAAATGAGGAGAGGACTCTCTGGACTAGTGTGGCAACTCCGTGTCTGCTCTCTGTGGCCAAACTGATGATTTAAAACACAGTGGAGGAAGCAACACACTACTCTCATCTAACTTTCCTCTGTAGGAACAGCATGTGGAATTGCCTCTTGAAGCACAGGTTCACCCAAAAGTGTAAGATTGCTCAAACCTATCTTAATTTAGAACAACAGCCCTTTAAGCAACATTAAAAAAAAAAAAATCCTGCTATTTCTGCAGCCAAGCAGCCTAAGAAGTAGAGAGTTCCAGAAGATGACTCAACAAAAAAGTCACCGATTTCCCCCAAACCACCTGAGCATCTTTGTACCAGCACATTGCCCAAGATTTCAGGTTTAAGCCCATCTTCAAAATTGATACTGTTTCAGCTTAAAAGCTCCAAACAATGGCAAGCCCTTAACCTCTCCTGTAAATTATTCCTGTAATTAACCCCCATCACTGCTAGGAAATTGTGTCACATTTAAAGGAATTTGTGTAGCTTGGAAAGACTGAAAACATTCAGCTATCTGATAACTTTCCCATGGGCATGGATTTCCACAGAGTGGCTGAGTCACTTCTCAACCCTCTTCTTCTGGATGTGCCTGAATAAACTGAGTTCATTAGGTCCGTTACAGGGTTTGTTTTCCAGACTAGAGCATTTTTGTGGCCTCCTCTGAACTCTCCAGTATTTTCATATCTTACTTGAGAGCTACTATAATTGGAAATTATGTTCCAGTAGCCCATTTTAACACCACCATGTGCACACACATGATCGCTACAACTTGATTCTCTCTAAAAAAAGAAAAAAACATCAATCAAATCAACTCTTCCCACAACAGTGAAGGTCACATTGCGTCACTGATGCAACTAAATCCTGGAAGTCACTCTCTGCTGCCTCCGTGTTTCTGGAAGGAAGCTATCGTGGTTTCTAGACATTACATGGTCTTTTTCATTGCATTAAGATCCTTTTCCCACTAGGAACCATCTAACCGGGAAGGTCAGACCAGGCTACAGCAGTAACATCTTGTCACTGATCATCTCACCTACTTATCACCAGTAGATTTTAAAGGTGAAGGTTATAAACCTTCCTTTGGATCATTTAAGTCAGTATTAGTATCTGAATGTAGAACTGATGCATGGAGGAGCTGACTGGAAATAGCCTGCTTGTTTTTGTCTTTCAATTAACGATCAAGATGCAGGATTTGTTCCTAAGGTCATTCTTAAATTTCACCTTCCCACCTGACACCACCACCTTAGTGCAATTCAATTGTCAGGTCGCACTAGAGTCAAATTCCTCAGACACCGTCAAGTACGTGACGCTGAACATATCATCAGCTGACTTAATGAGATCTTGAAACCCCTCTCAAAAAGGAACACTGGGCCATGGGAGGGGCGAAATCTTTTCCAAGCACACGTTGTTTAGCCTTTGATCTCCACACCCATTGTATTGGTAGTGCCTAATCAGTTACAAAGTTTTACCCGCTCATTTTATCCCTTCCAACCATGAATATTCTGTGATTCTGTGATTTTATTCCTGCTACTGACACCAGGTTAACAAACTTCGGTGTTTTGTTTTCCTAAAAGACGTTTACCCTTCCACAGGCGTGGACGACACCGGTGTCACCTCCAGCCCGGCCCACGGGGGCAGAGCCGGGCCCGGGCGGCTCCGGGCGATCAACGCTCCGCGGGGTCACACCGCGGGACCTTCCTTCGGCTTCCGCCGACAACTTGTAATTAATTCACTCCAATTACCTGTACGCCACGCACGGTAGCGATGCCAAGGCTGCAGAGTGTGTAATTACTGGTAATTAGGACCCGCAGGCGGCTCTCGCTGCCCGCCTCTCCCCTGCGCACACCGGCCACTCACCTGGCGACAACCCGGAAGCGGCGACGGGAACCTCGGAGTCCGTCGCTCAAACCCTTCCCCGCCACTCCCGCCCTTCCGCGCCCGCGGCGGCCCCGGCCGGCCCCAGAACCCCCGGAGCGGAACCTGGGACCCCCGCAACTCCCGGAGCCGGTCTCGAAACCCACAGGGCGGCCCTGAAACCCCCGGTGTCAATCCCGGAACCCCCGGAGCAGACTCAGCGCCCCGCCGGCCCCTTTCCAGGGCACCGCCGCACGGCGCCGGCGGGGGCGGGATCGCCCCTAGCAACGCCCCTAGCAACGCCCCTAGCAACGCCCGAGGGGCGGGGCCTCAGCGGCCGGAGGCGGGGCCGGAGCGGGAGGGGTTTACCGTATTTACCAGAGTGCGGCGGCGCACATATGCTTACCGTACTTACTGTAGTTAAGGAGCATCCCCGGGCGGCCGCGATACTACCTGTTTTTAAAGGGGCGGCCGGAGCTCCCCGCCCCGGGGCCGCGCCCGGCAGGTGAGGCCCCGCCGGGAGCCGGGCACAGCCATGGCGTACCGGGAGCTGGTAAGGCGCTGGCACCAGGGCGTGCTGGCGGCCGACGACGGGGACTGGGAGGCCGCCCTGGAGATCTTCACCGGCATCGAGGACCCGCCGTCCAGGGTCTGCTTCAACGTGGGCTGCGTCCAGCTGCTGGCGGGGAGGCCGCGGGAGGCCCTGCGGGTGAGCCGGGCTGGGGACGGGGGGACGGGGTCCTGCTGCCAGTTCCAGGGACGCTGGAACTCAAAACAGTTTAAATCCAGCGTTTCTTACCGCAGAATCCCAGCCTGGCAGGGGCTGGCAGGGACCTCTGGAGATCATCTCCTCCGATCCCCTGCCAGGGCAGGGTGACCCAGAGCAGGGGGGGGGTTTGAATGTCTCCAGAGGAGACCCCACACCCTCTCTGGGCAGCTTCTTCCAGGGCTCTGCCACCCTCACAGGGAAGAAGTTTTTCCTCATGTTGAGATGGAACTTTCTAAGTTCAAGTTTGTGCCCATTGCCCCTTGTCCTGTCCCCGGGCACCACCGAGAAGAGCCTGACCCCATTCTCCTGCCCCACACCCATTAGCTATTGCTCAGCATCGATGAGGTCCCCTCTCAGTCTGCTCTTCTCCAGCTGAACAGCCCCAGGTCCCTCAGCCTTTCCTCAGCACAGAGATGCTCCAGGCCCTGATTATCCTCATAGCTTCTGCTGGACTCTCTCCAGTAGTTTCTTGTCTTTCCTGAACTGGGGAGCCCAGAACTGGACCCAGTTCCAGCTAACAGCAGGAACAGGAGAGGTGACAGAGGCAGCACAAGGAGCCCCATGGCCCAGGACAGTCCTGCACCAGTGGCCGAGGCTGCCCCAAAGAAGCCGCTGTGCTGGAAAAGCCCTGCCCTTTGGAAGGGGCCAGCAGCTGCCTGCGCTGGTGCAGGGCTGAGCGCCCCGAGGAAAAGCCTTTTTATGACAGCACCCAGCACGTCTGCGCAGCTTGGGGGCTGTCAGTGGCGTGGTGAGGAGGTGTGGGTCAGCCATTTCTTAGCCAGGAAGAATCACAGAATCATGGAATTGTCAGAGTTGGAAGGGACCTCTAGACATCCTCTAGTCCAACTCCCCTGCCAAAGCAGGGCTGCCCAGAGCACAGCACTCAGGAGCATCCAGGTGGGGCTTGAAGATCTCCAGAGAAGGGGACTCCACACCCTCCCTGGGCAGCCTCTGCCAGGGCTCTGCCACCCTCACCCCAAACAAGTTCTTCCTCACATTGCAGTGGAACTTCCCATGGTCCAGCTTGTGCCCGTTGCCCCTCGTCCTCTCACTGGGAACCACTGGAAAGAGTCCGGCTCCTTCCTCCCTCAAACTGCCCTTTAGACACTTGGGAGCATTAAGAAGGTTTCCCCTCAGCCTTCTCTTCTCCAGAGCCCCAGCTCTGTCAGCCTTTCCTCATCAGGGAGATGCTCCAATCCCTCCATCATCTCTGCTGCCCTACGCTGGACTCTCTCCAGCAGTTCTCTGTCTCTCTGGAACTGGGGAGCCCAGAACTGGACACAGGATTCCAGTTGTGGCCTCCCCAGTGCAGAGCAGAGGGGGAGAATGACCTCCCTCCACCTCCTGGCCACACTCTTTCCTCTGCAGCCCAGGATCCCATTGGCCTTCTTGGCCACAAGGGCACATTGCTGGCTCATGGAAAGTTTGCTATCCACCAGGAGTCCCAGATGCTCAGTAGTGCTTTCCAGAAGAAGAGGAGCTCAGGCTGTGCCCAGAGCCATGGAGCCCTGGGCAGGGTGGCTGCCGTAAGGGACAGAGAGAGCACAGTGCCATGGAGCCCCAGAGAGGCTTCTAGCCCCAGTGGATGGACAATGGCTGGGAAGCAGCTCAGCTGTACTTCCTCCTAGGTCAACGGCTGGGTGTTTATCTTTTGTCTTTTATAGCATAGTAAAGCAGGCTGTTGAGGCGGTGTGTGCTGTGGGAGAAGCCAGCCACCACCTCGCCGAGGGGCGCCGGCGCTCCCTGACCTCCTGCAGCAGATTTACACCCTGCAGTGCTGCCCCTGCCCAGGCGCTGCCACGAAACTCTGAGCTTTCAGCCTTGATTCGTTATCTACATACTGTCTGCATGCAATAAATGAAGGAGCACAGCTCCTGGCTTTCTCAGGAAGACCCTAAGACAGTTTTCCCAGCACAGTGTTGCTTTGAACCATCAGCCACAAGTTGGTTCCAGCTTTGCTAGTGCTTGCCTGTATTTAGGTGGAAAACTGGACCAGAAATACTGACTTGTAGGTGAAGTGTGAGGCCTTTCACCAGCTTTGCTAATGCTTGCCTGTATTTAGGTGGAAAACTGACTTGTAGGTGAAGTGTGAGGCCTTTCAGCTTTCTCCCTTGCACCCCTTCACACACTCATCCCCATGGGCGGTTTCAAACAGCCTTCCCTGGCCTGGCCAGTCCTGCTGCTCCCAGTGTCGGGGCAAACCCTGCTCCGGGCAATGCATTTTCCCGTTACGAGATGCCAGATGGCAAATGTAGCTCATTTATGTCCAGTCCGTTTTCCCACGGGTGAATAAAAACCCTAACGAAGCTCATATGGAGCCAAGACCTGAGAGATGACTTGGAGCTGTCTCCTGCCTCTCAGCCCAGGTCGCAGCTGGTCACTCTGGAAGAGCTGGTCACAGCTCAGGGATGGCTTCTGCTCCCAGGGCCAGCACGGTGTGGATGTGGCTGGTGGGGTGCATGTACCCTGCATTGACAGGAGAGATCCTAACTCATCCTTGGGATATGTCTGTGTTTTTCTCTGAAGGCATTTGATGAAACTGTTGCAAAGGACAAGTCCCTAGCTGTTGGCTTCTTTCAGAGAGGGTTTGTCCATCTGCAGCTGGAAATGTAAGTGAGGCACACGTCCTCTCCAAGTCTTTTTAATCATACTTTATTCCTAAAATTCACTTCTTCCAGCAATATCAAACAGTTCATAAGGTCCAGTCTGGCCCTGTAAACCGTGTCACAGAGCTTCAAGTGTTATCTCTGATATGGCTGAGAGGATTTGAGCTGCAGAACTCTGGGGCTCAGGGATGGCTAATACATGGCATGACTGCCCCATATACACAGAGAAAGAAGCTGCTTCTGTACACGGGGGTGCCAGGAAGTTATGTTGCCATTCAGATTTTCTTTGGGAATGAAAAAAATATAATTGTGCTGTTTGGTGTATCTTCACATGGTACACCTGAGTCTGACCTTCCTAAAAATGCAATCTGCCCACAGCGTCTCACTCCCTCTCTCTGGTGACAGTGGATTTTGTGGGCTTGATCTCAGTCTCACTGATTTAATGTCGGGATTGCTCCACTACTGTCATGAGATTGATTACTCATTGTTTCCACAGTTCAATCGTGGTGACATCCTGCTCAGAGAGGTGGGCGGAGGATTGTACAGATCCCATCTTGCCTTCGAAGTTCAGTTATTCTCTTTCCTGTTATTTTTTCCCCATATTTTCCAGACCTTAATTTCCACAAAATGACTATTTTTATTTTGGGGAGTGAGCAGTTCTGCCCTCGCAGCATCAAGCAGCTACAAGCTCTGTTCCCCTGCCAGCAGAGCTGCAGTTGGGGCTGGTGGAGCCTGGCCACCCCACCAGACCTGCTCCCAGCATGGTGCCACAGCCAGCCCCCCCCGAGCACAGGGGCTGTGCAGCGGGTCACTGGCTCTTGGTTGGGCAACCACTGCACAGCCCTTCCTGGGCCCTTCCTTTCACCACCTGCAGCCTCAGTGGGAACCTGTTTTGATCTCGCTGGTGTAAATTCAGAATAATTCCCTCCTTATCTTTAGAATTTCTCTAAATTTCTCTAAATCTAAAAAAATTTCTGCTTGCGTTGCTCTGGCTGTGCATGCACACTCACTGCTCACCATCAGCATCACTCATCACCATCACCATCAGCAGGATGTTCCCAGACCTCACATCCAGGTGACACCTGCTGGGACAAAACTGGGCGAGGAGCTCACACCATTTGTTAATCCTTGTTCTTTACATTTTCTCCTCCTTGGAATTGCGACTTCTTCAGGTATCAAAGCCTACTGTTCCTCCCAGTCAGTAAAACAGAGCAGATAATCCCATGTTCATTTTGTACTACCTCCCAACAAGGAATGGACAGGGAATTTTCTGTAGTCATAAGGTGACACATGTCCCTGGTGCCACTCTCCTGATCCAGGCTACAGAGAAGAACAAATGTTTTTTGCTAGCTTGATTTTTGAACTTCTTTATTAGAGTCTTCAGCCCTTTTAGTCAGTTTCTCCTGTCATCTCTGCATTGTAGGTATGAAGAAGCTCTCTCTGACTATCATCTGGCCTTCAGTCATCTAAGAAAAAATCCCTTCATCGATTACAAGCAGCTGGGGCTGAGGCACATCCTCTACGCCTGGGAGGTAAGAGTCAGCCTGTGCCAGCAGCTCTTCCCTTTTCTTGGGCGTGTTCATCAGGTCTTCAGCAGCAGTAACCCAAGAGGTTTTCGAGACAGTACATTATAACAGGAAAAAAATTCTACTTGCATTTTTTTTGTTGTTTCAGGAACTTAGTCATAAAAGTCATAAAACAATATAATCTCTTTAGACTTTAGCAAATTATACAGTCTGAAAATTAAAATTGGTCAGAGCAGATGCACAGGAATTTGTATATTGGGGTTTTCCTAGCTTTTCTATGCATGTAATATTTACACTTACATGTGTGTAAATATGCATGTAAGTTTTGTGAACTCCCCAGCTCTAAAAGCTGAAATAGGTTGAAGTATAGACAGATGGGAACAAACTGGTCCATAAAGAAGACTCTAAGAAGCTTATGTGCATGGACTAAGTCTGGCCCGACACACTGGGCTGCAAACTGTGTTTGGCTGCTGTAACTCTTCTCTCTGCGGCTCTGACACTGTCACATGCGGTCAACCTGCCACATCCTGTTCAAAAAAAGGTCTAAGTAAATATTTGTCATATTTGGAATGTGAAAGATATCTAGAAACTGTACTTTACTGCGAGGGTTCATTTTGTTTCCTGCCCTGAGTCCACACACGGACTGAAAAGCAGGTAGAGGACAGAGTATTGAATTTTTCACTTCCGCGAGAGCAAGGAGTCATTGTGTAGGGCAGGTCAGGCATTCCCAGAAACCCGTCAGGCAGTCTGGGTCAATTTTCATGCACCTGAGAAGTGCAAGAAGCTATCCTTGGCATCTGTGGTATTACCCAAACCTCATTGTTTTTAACAGTTTCAGTGCCACAGCACTGCCTCCTCTGAGCTGACAGTAGGTTCCCACTGGGAGGTGTGGGGCTGCAGCAGTGCCCTGAGGCTGCTGAGGAGGTGGGTGCCCGTGCTGGGGTGAGCACCCCAGGCCCACTCCTGTGCTCCAGGCATTGCCAGGACATTGCTCTCCCTGTGCTGGCTCCGTGCTCAGGATCCACATCCTGATTTGACTGGGTCTCACATCGACCTGCAGCTCATTTTTCGAAATACACAAACCTAATCCTCCTGCAGGACTGTGCCATCAGCTGTCCCCGTATGTGGCCTCTCACATGCTGCGTCTCATCTTCTCGAGGGGAGGAGGTGTGCTGTATGGTTTGAAAATCCAGAAATATTTGCCTTTTGCAAGACTAAAGCCCTCCTGAGCTGAGTGAGAGCTGCTGCCTTGCCTCTCCATGAGGGACCATTTCTGCAGTTCCTGTAGATGTTCCCAATGTCCCTTCCCACCACCACTCAAGCAGCAGCCTTCTACTGCCACGATTAAGGAGTAAAGGAAAAGCATCCTATTAGCTCCAGCGCTCTCCTGAGCACTGCTTGCACCCAGAAACCACAAAGCAATTTGCAGGCTGATAACCCTATCACCAAAGGTAGGGAGCTCTCTGCCAGCAGTCTGTAGTCTTGTAGGCCAGCAGCAGTGCCATACGCTGCCTGTGGGCCAGGGACAAGAGGAGGTCTCCCTTAAAGCTCAAGGCTCCCCAGCACCCAGTCTGTAATGCTCCCACGCTTTGCCACCTCACCACTGAGCACACTGACATACTGCTAAAGGGTGACAAGCTGCAGCTGACAATTTGCACATTCACAGCCCACTACAATGTGAGATAGCTTCAGTTCAGTTATTTTGCAGTAAAAAGGAGCCAGAATTACCCTGCGGAGCAAAATGTATTACCTAGTTGCATACAGAAAGAGACCTGAGAGAATACTTCCTAGCCTTTCAGGTGCAGGAAGGATAAGATTAAACCTTGTGTGGTACCTGGTACCTGGTGTTCCCCACACCTCTCGGTGCCTTGAGCAGAGCCAGCAGCTCCAGCACGCTCAGGAGCCAGCCTGGAGGTACAGCTTTTATCTCTTTCCACTCTGATGATGGAGTCTTTCCAGCTGTGCTGCTCAGAGTGCCTTTCCTGTGGCCAGTGGGGAGTAGACTGGTGCTGCTGCTGTGTCAGTGCCTGGCCCCGGTTTCTTGGCAGAGTTGGGTAAGTTGTAAGTTGTGCTGGGGGTCTGTCTGGTCTCCCCTGCTGAGTTCTGCTCCCCCCTGCCCACCCCAGGTGCTGTACAGCACGGCGGCAGTGCAGTGTCGGCTGCAGCAGTGGCAGGAGGCCAGAGCCACCCTAGACAAGGCTGTTGTCTGGAGACCTGAAGGAAGAACAGCCATCCTGGCCCTGGCCCTTGAGCGAGTGCAGGTAAGATGACCTCTGTGAGCTCCTGGGTATATGCATTGGGTTTAAATTAAGAAATATGAGATAAGAATCGTAGAATGGTTTGGGCTGGAAGTGACCTTAAAGCTCTTCCGGTGCCACCCCCTGCCCTGGGCAGGGACACCTCCCACCAGACCAGGTTGCTCCAAGCCCCCTCCAACCTGGCCTTGAACCCCTCCAGGGATGGGGCAGCCACAGCTTCTCGGGGCAACCTGGGCCAGGCTCTCACCACCCTCACAGCAAAGAAGTTCTTCCTGAGGTCTCATCTCAATCTCCCTTCTTCCAGTTTGAAGCCATTACCCCTCATCCTATCACTACATGCCCTTGTAAAATGTCTCTCTCCAGCTTTCTTGTAGGCCCAGTATGCCAATTGTTGTATGTTTCATTTTTCTTGTCTCCCCACCTGCTTGGCCACCCAGTAACAGAGTGTAAGCCATTTGCATGTGGTGCTCTACCAAACTAGTGCTTCAGATAAATGGTGACTCCATCACCTCCAGGGCCTTGACAGCAGAGAAATACCATAGTGGAGAATTATGACATAACATCTTGGGTTGAGGAGGTGCCTTTCTAGTCCCTGCTCTTCAGGAACTTGGTTCTCTTTGTACTTGTGCTGAATTGCCTTACGCAGTGTTTAAGTGCAGAACCCCTCCAAGTGCAGATTTGGAGGGTCTCTGTTTTCATTACACTAGCTGACTGGTTTGGGTCCCTTTGGCCTCAATAAAAATTGATGGCAGCTTGGATATTAATGACAATGACAATCACATTTAGAGCTTAAGTAGAGTGTAAAAGTTTTTCCAGGGTTGTTTCTAAGTCATAGTTTCCTGCCAGACTGTTTTATAATCAGGAACAAGTGGCAGATCTCTGATTTACTCTTCCTGTAAGGCTTGTTATTTTGCTGCCTCCATACTTCCTTATCTTATTGTACCCTTTGGAAGAGATGATCACTTTTTCTTTTAAATCTGATCATCTCTTCTAGCACCATGTTTGTGCTTTACATTAGTGTAGTATTTATATTTGCTATTGGCATGCTACTTGGTGGTTGAACAGTGGAGAAAAAACAACATTTTAAGTCAAATAGAAAAACTGCTTAGAGATTTGTTTAACAAACCTTGCTCCACTGCCCTCCCTTCCCACGCCAGCAGAGTTAGTCTTTGACTCAACACTGGGTAGTGGCTGTGGAGCTCTTAGTTTGCTTTTTCAAGGTCACAGCCATAATTTTTGCCCCAGTGTCTTCCTGGAGCTGATCTTGCACACACAGCCAAGCTACACTTGTTTTTCACTGCTGTTCTGTTTCATTTCATATTAATTGATGGGTTTTCCCTGATCTGCTTTCCCTGCCCTAGGACCATCTGTTTTTAGAGCCCATGCAGGTTTCTCCTGGGGAATTTTTCAGACCACGAAAGAAGGAAGTTGAACAGCTGGATTCAAAAAACTTCCTGGGTAAACCCAAGGTAATAGGCATGTAATCGTTAACAGTAACAGAAAGCAGATTAAAATCTCACGTTCTGATATCTCCAGAGAGCCTTACTGCTGCCTACTCCACCAGCACTGCACTGGTGGAGACCCAAGAGCAGGATTGTCAGGGCTTCCAGCCAGTCAAGGCATCTGGGACACAGAAGCCAAAATTTGTAAGAATTCCCACTCTTTCTTGATATAAGGTGCACTTTGTTGCTAAAAAACCTTCTCAGTCTTGGTCACTTTAAACTCTGAAAAAGCTGAGCAGGTACTTGCACAGCATTCCCTGTGCTGTGATTGTCCTTCTGCTGACAATAGTATTGTCAAGAGGAGCACATTCCTCCAGCCTGCTCCTACCCACCACTGCATTCCCAGCGGGACAGGCGAGCGGCTGGGAGACAAATGCCTTGTCACGTCCTTCAATGCCAGTCAGCAGAGAATTTCTCTGGTCCCTTCTGTCACCACTGCTGTCAGCAGAAGTGCCACAGGTCAGAGAGCCGTTACATGAATAAAGGGAAGGGAAAGTAATTGGTTCATGTGTTTTAAAGAAACCTTGGGAAGACTTAAAACACAGGGACACCAACAGTTGAAGCTGTTTTGGGAATCCAGCTCTGCTTTTTCCACTGTCTGCAGGGCTCTACTTTACGATGCCAGGACTTTAGGATGTCAGTAGGAAACAGGTCTGAGTAGATAGCCTTACATGAGGTTTGAGAGTCTCTTCATCCAGCCTGGATTCAGTCATTACTTTCTTCTCCAACAGGTGATCTCATCCATCATTCCCAATGATGAGTACATTGGCTTCGAGCCTCTCAGGCCTCAGGTGAGCAGGACATAGCTGTGAAAGGAGAAATGGAGCTGTCATGGAGCTCCAGGTAGGGCCTCAGACCCTGACACCATCAGGATCAGAACATACTGTTGGAAAAAACGACGCAGTATTGGACTAGATCCGCGGGGCCATTCAAATCCAGGTGGTGGGCTGTGGCTTTGGCTGGAAGGGACTCAGTGATGTGAATCTCCAATACTTTGAAGACACGTTTTTGTCTCTTTGCTGCACCAAAACAGCACTGGAGACTTTGCTGGGCTCAGCACGTGTTTGCTCAGCACTTCAGTAAATTTGTCAGCGTAAGTGCAGCTAGCTTGAGCTGTAATGTGAGTTTCTTAGAGCCAAGGGTAAGGTTAGACTTTGTTACTCTCCTCCAGATGGGATAAAGAGGGAAGAGGAGAAAGAGAAGGTACATCCTGGTAAGGTGTGGAGCAGCAGACTTCTGTCTGGGTGCTGTGGTCAAAGAAAAAATACCACAGTGTGGTATTCAGAGGGATAGTAAACAGCACTGTCACTGTATAACATACTGTTATAAATAGATGCTGTTGTTCCTCCCACAGAAACAGGGCTTTTATGAACCCCCTGCTGATGCTCTACGGTAAGTGTTTGGTTCTACCCTTCTGGTCTAACTCTTTTCCCACTACCTCTGTTCAGAAGGTCACATTTTGTTCTTTGACATCTTTGTCTGAAGACTCTGTGTGATCCACACCCACTTCTCACAAAGGGTGGAGTGAATGACAAATGTGCAAAGGTTTGTGTGGCTGCAAAAGCCACTGCAGATCAGTGGCACCTCCCACGCAAGAATCCCAGGGCAGTTTGCAGGAGTTGGTTCAATAGTCTTGGGAGACAGGCATGGATCATGCCATGACTGGTGAATGGAAGCAGAGAGAGGCTGTGGGACCTGCTCAGGTCCGTGGCAGAGGATGCTGAGCTGCCCCATCCTAGTTCCCAGGGCAAGGCCTCCAAATACTCTCTGCCCTGCTGTGCTGAGCCAAAATCAGCCTTGGTTCAAAAAATATGAAAGCCTTTTGTTTTGGTGGTATTGTACCAACAATACTCCAGGGCTGAATTTAATAATTGTTTTGATATGGAGGATGTTTATTAGTGTGATGAAAATGGGCAGTTACATTTGATAAATATTTTCCAAGCTCCTTTTGTTACCAGTTGGACCAAAGAGTAGCAATGGAAATCATTATTTCCCAGCACCTCAAACTTTTACCACGTGCCAGTTTGGATCTGTGCCGTGTTTTGGGTTAAAGCCATCCCAGACCAGAACTCTGGGGTTAGTAAAAATGCTCTCATTCTTTCTTTCCAGAGACAGTGAGTCAGGCTACTATCGAGTTTTGTCCCATTATTACCCCAAGGACTCGGAGGAGCAGGCAGTGAAAGCCAGCAGTTTGGTCTTTGTGCTGTCGAGAGAAGCGGATGGTTGGGCTACAGCCATACATGATGGACAGGTAAGGAAAACATGTGGGCTTTTCAGCCCTCCCCCACCAGCAGAGACCTCGGCCCTGCCTGGGAACAGGAGCTTGCTGCAACCCTCTGAGGTCCTTGGGACCCACCTGTAGCCCTGCAGAGCAGCAGATGAGTTCAGGAGCTCATTCCCCCAGATCGTAGATTTCTTTGACACTTGGCTCCCCCCAGCTCCTGGCATTCACCTCTGTAGCTCCACAGGGGCGTCTTTTTGGGCACTTGTGCTCTCCACCATGCAGGATCCTATTGTGGAATTGTGTAGGCTAACAGACCTCACCAAGGCCCACCATTTGTCACCTGAGAGCTCTAACAGAGCCAAGGAGACTGGTTGGTCCATACCTGGTGTGTAGTGCCTCTCTTAAATTAACTTTGGGAAGGTTTCACCTGTGCAGGCAAATTTTATAGCAGGCTCAAGAGAAGATCCAAGGAATTAAAGCCTAGCAAATCTGACATCTTATTGCAGACTGGGGAGCTATAGTGTAAACAGATTGAATAGAAACCGAAAAATATGACATCATGGAAAATCTTTTGTCAACAGAAGCCATTCCTCACTTGTCTACTTAAATTCTTTGAAAGAGCAGTGCATACCTGGATTAGGTTGATCCAGTGAGCTGTTGAGAAACAGAGGCAGTGCTCTGAGGACTGATAACAGGTTAAAATAAAGGGTTGGCGTAAATGAACAGGATTTTCTTTCTTTCTTTCTTTTTAAAAGAAAGGATGTACCCACAGAGAATCTGCTGTGACCTAAGCATTTACCATATTCCTAAAAGTGATACAGTAATAGGGGTAGTGATACAGTGTTTCTGAAGGTGACCACATTCCTTGACAGACAATCAAACCATTCAGCCTGAAGCATCTGGTGCTAACAGTGAACAATTACAGAAGTATTTGAACGTGCTGGTTGACTGCTCGGTGAAGTGCCAGTTGAAATACAAAGTCAAAAAAAGTAGAATAATAGACATTGCAGGGGGGGAAGAGGCATAATTACTCACAATGATCAGTTGAAATGAATAGCTCTGTAGCAGTGATTGTCAGAAGACACAGAAATGGTGTTGCACTGGTGTCCCTTGACACCCCTCAGCATCTGTTTTAGGAGCAGGGTGTTGGGCTTGGTGGGTGGTGGGTCTCTCACGTCGCAGCTGCTCAATTAGCACCACTGCTTTCAGCAGAAAAAGATATAAAAGGACCATTGGATTTTCTTCAGCAATCTCTGAGCACAAGCCTCATGGGCTACTGTATGCCCCTGGGCCCCCGTGGGCACGCTCGTGTTGCAGTGGGGCGAGCAGACAGGGGGTGTTGGGCCAGGGCAGACAGGGTGCAGAGTGGGGCGAGAAGAAGATGGGGCTGGGGCTGCCCCTGCCCTGGCAGCAGCTCCTGTCTCACCCTGCTCTGCTTTGTGTCCTGCAGAAGCTGCGCATACCGAGCTCTCTCCTGGAGCCTGCCTCAAAGCTGGATAAATGGGTGAGCTGACAACCTTGCAACCAGGGGTGAGGACAAGAACAAAAGATACATTTGGGGAATTTATTTGTAAGATTATCACAGGATAGGACAACTGTATGAAAGAAACAGAGTGTGAAACACTGAAGCATGCTGACTGAAGACCAAGTGCTCTTGAACAGGAACAACAGAAGAGCTAATAGCAGAAAAAACACCTTTTATATATATATATATATCAGCTCTCTTTACAGCAAAATCTGGGGGCTTGGCCATACAGCCAAGCCACCATGGCTTGCATCACAAGCTGATCTAGACATTATTATCTTTTATCTGCCATGGGCTGATGGAGGCACGAAGATGAGTAGCTGGCACAGCTCTCCTGACCCACTCTAACTTGCTGAGGTGCTGGAACATGGTGATGAGTTTGAGGGCTTGGGGCACATGTTCATCCAGGCTGCCCCCATGATGTCTGCAGCCCACTGGGTGTAGCACAGGAGCGGGTGAGGTGTGCTCATGGGTTCTAGTTCACCAGCAGAGTGAGAGCAGGTTAATCTCCTGCAGTCGGACAGTAACACCTTAAACAGGCACCTCTTTTGCCCTGGAGGCCATGCACCTAAACCTTTGATTTAGGAAAACTTCCTTCATCTCCCATCTCCACCACAGACATATCCTCCCATGACCCAAATAATTTTCCATCTGAACCCAGTACAGAAAGGTGCACCCCAGACCTCTATAACATGCGAGAGATTTTTGAAGCCCTGGTTGTTCTGATGTTTCTGTGATTATTTTTTTTCCCTCTGAATGGATCCCTGGCCATAGCACCCACTGGGGCATTTGCTCCGTGGATGTCTCACTGTGACCATCCCACATTTGGCTGGGTGAGCTGGCAGATGGTGGGCAGAGCCCTCAGTGCAGGATGAGCAGCCTCCCTCTGCTCCAGCAAGAGGCAGGAGGTGAAAGGAGTGTCCCACCAAACCTCTCATCACCCCTGCTACCCAAGGGACTTGAGCGCTCTGCCTCATCCAGCCAGTTACTGAACTGGTCTCCCTGGGGCCCTCTCTGGGGTTACACCTAGAAACTGCTGACTGGCTGCAGCCTATCTCATGCCCACCAGCCTGGCCCAGTCTCCACTGTCTTCTGCTTACTCATTTCAGATGTTGTTCTGTTGCAGAAGATCAGCGATGGGATTCCCCTCCCTCCTGCCCAGGTGCCTCCCAGCCGACTCCATGTGAAGCAGAAGCCAGGTAGTCCCCCGGGCCAGAGACCCCCATGGGTGTCAGCACCCTGCTCCGGGGGTGCAGGGGGAGGCTGGTTGCCCACTGCAGCCACGGCTGCCCGGGTGCTTGTGGTCTTCAGGAAAGCTGCCAGGGCTGCTGCTGACTGCAGACGCTGTTCCTCTGCCCTTGTTTTGTTCTGCAGAATCTCCTGGGGGAGAAAATGCCTCTGCAAATGATGCTGGTGCCCAAATGGATGCCAAGGTAAGGTGTTTCACAAGCTGAAGGTACAACCTCAAAAGATCAAGGCTGTGAAAAATGCAAGATTCCTGGCCAGACCCTCCAAAATTCCTGAGATGCCAGAAAATCTTTGGAAAAAACTCTGCCCATTTTCCCATTCCAGAGAGAGGGTCCCATGTGGTCTTTCCTCCACCACTCCCAAGTTTGGGACCCTACAATTTTGTGAGACAGCCCAGAGTTGAGACTTACCAGGGCAGTGCCCTTTTGCCACCCTCCAAGGAGCAAAGAGCCCCAGATGCAGCAATGTTCTCAGGCACACGTTGTACAGCCCATTTTGCCAGAGCATGCTGTCTTTGAACTACCTGCTGTCCCTCCCCGTCTCCTCCAGCATGGCATTTTCTCTCCCTGTCAGCCTGGGTACCACAATTCATTGATATTTGTGTTCTTCTGGGATGGTGTCCTCTGATGCACCTCCATGTCATTACTGACCACTGTGTGATGGAGCTGGAATTGCTCCTGTGTCCACTTGGGGACAGCATCTCTCTGGCAGTGCCAGCTGCAGATCAGTTCTGCTCCCTTTGTCTTTGCCACCCCTCTCTGTAGGGCTTTTGGAGCCATTTTTTTGTCAGCCGTGCTTCAGACAAGGCAACAGAACACAGGGACTTGGCTGCATCTCTCCAGCTGGCTGGAGGAGCTGCTCATACATGTTTGGGGTTGGGAAGTACCTGTGTGACCAGACCCAGAAATAGGCTTCCTGGGTCACGGGACAAATATTTGATCCCAGACTTTGAATTTGCATTCCTCCCCTGAAATTCAGATCTGCCTTTTGATGCTGCACTTCTGTGACATGGTACCACTGAGCCCATGGGCTGTGTCTGTGTCACCTCTCTCGATACGAGGGTCCTGAGTCACCAGGCTGTTCATGGTGCCGTATCTCTCAGCAGACCCTACCGACCCGCGGAGACGCTTCGCCTGGCGTGGACAGACCGGTTGTGCTGCGGGCGTGCTGCGAGTGCAGGGTGGTGGTGCAGGCCGGAGAGGTGCTGTCGCTGCCCGACCTGCGGGCGCTGCTGCGGGAGCGCTTCGGGCAGCAGGCGGAGCGCGGGATGCTGAGGTACAACACGGACCCTCTGGCACCCCCGGGGCAGCATTTCGTGTCACAGGGGGCAGCAGCCTTTCCCCTGAGGGTACAGACCCACGTCTGGTCTCCAGGAAATATTTAATTGGGATTGCCAGACACCAATAGAGGTTAGGGATGGACCTGCTGGAAAGCACTTCTGAGGAGAAGGATCTGGGGATCCTGGTGGACAGTAAACTTTTCATGGGCCAGCACTGGGCCCTTGTGGCCAAGAGAACCAATGGGATCCTGGGCTGCAGAGGAAAGAGTGTGGCCAGGAGGTGGAGGGAGGTCATTCTCCCCCTCTGCTCTGCACTGGGGAGGCCACAACTGGAATCCTGCCTCCAGTGCTGGGCTCCCCAGTTCCAGAGAGACAGGGAACTGCTGGAGAGAGTCCAGCGTAGGGCACCAGAGATGATGGAGGGATTGGAGCATCTCCCTGCTGAGGAAAGGCTGAGAGACCTTGGGCTCTTGAGCCTGGAGAAGAGAAGGCTGAGGGGAGACCTTATCTACATTTACAAGTGTCTAAAGGGTGGGTTGAAGGAGGATGGAGCCAGATGGTTCTTTCCAGTGGTTCCCAGTGAGAGGACGAGGGGCAACGGGCACAAGCTGGACCATGGGAAGTTCCACTGCAATGTGAGGAAGAACTTGTTTGGGGTGAGGGTGGCAGAGCCCTGGCAGAGGCTGCCCAGGGAGGGTGTGGAGTCCCCTTCTCTGGAGATCTTCAAGCCCCACCTGGATGCTCCTGAGTGATGTGCTCTGGGCAGCCCTGCTTTGGCAGGGGAGTTGGACTGGATGGGCTCTAGAGGTCCCTTCCAACTCTGACAATTCCCTGATTCCGTGAAAGCAGTCTAGCAGAGATTCACAAAGATGTGAGCATGCAGCCTTCCTTGCAGGGCTGACCTTTTCATGGCTTTTGGTTTTGTGAACAGTGTGTGCTTCATGGGCTTTGGAGATCCAAATAAATGGGAGAACAGAAGGAAAACTGTGCAGATGCAGTTGCTGTATGCTGGATTTTTTCTGGCTCAGCTCAGCCTTTGAGATCCACTGGGATCAGTGCAGAGCAATCTGGGAGCTGCTCCTGGGGTGAGGTCCCCTGACTGTGACACCCCTGGGGATGCACAGTCAGTGCGGTCAGGAGAATTTAGGATTTTCCCCTCAAGTGAGTGTGTGAGGAGGTGACAGTGTCACTCCCCGACAGAGCGGTTTGTGCCCACTGAGCATGCAGGGTGGCCCCGTGTTGTGGTGCCAGGTGACAAGTTCAGAGCTGGCTAACAAAGGGGACTTTGGAGGCTGAAGATGTTAGAGGGGTAGGCTCGCCTCAAAGTCTGGCTTCAAGTGAGCTGATTTGAGGTGTTAATGAATCCTTGCAGCTACAGGTGTGCAGATGGCAAAGACCTGGGTGCAGTTTTGGGAGAGGAGGACCTAGGGAAGATGTGGCAGCAGCTGACGGATGGCAGGCTGACGCTCTGCTGCCAGGTAGGTGTGCTGTGTCCCTGCTGTGCCGCGCTCCAACCTCTGCTCTGCCTTGCACCCTCTGTGCTGAACTTCCTCCCACAGGACTCGGACTCCCACTCGGGCAGACCCGTCCTCTGCCGGATGCTGGCCCAGCACTCCTACCTGGCACAGGGACCGGGCGACCTGGAGTTCAGCAAGGGAGACCTGCTGGATATTCTCTCTGAAGGTAGCTCTCCAGTCCTGTCCACAGCCTGTAAGGGGACAGGCTTTTGGAGTCTGCTGCAGGGAGGGACTGGGGAACAGATGGTCTCTCTGGTGCTGTTTCAGGCTCATACTCCCTGGAGGTACAGGCTTGCACTGGGCCTTGCCCAGAATTAATTTCCAGCCATGAGATCTCTCACTAACCCCACTCATATGGGCCAGGGCTCATCCTGCTCCTCTGTCTTTTCCCAGTGAACGAGGACTGGCTCGAAGGACGCTGCAATGGCAAGACTGGCATCTTCCCCAAGTGCTTTGCAACCCAGATCCAGGAGGGCAGTGGTGCTGCCTTCCTATAGCCACCAGGAGCCTGTTCCTCCCCGACTGCACTGTCTCCCAGGGGTGGGAGGTACCAGTCCCAACTCATTCAGGCCACGGCCAGCACAACCAGGAGCTTGGACACAGCTGAACTTGGTGTCCCCCACCCCCAGATCCCACGGGGTCGGTTCCAGCAGTCTGACAGCATTTTCTACAGCCTGTTCCCAGACCTGGTGTTTTTACCTCTGTGCTTATACTGCCAAAGATGTGCCTGTGCAGGGCAGAGAGGAGCAGGCGGGGAACGGGGAACTGGTGTTTGTTGGGAAATGTCCATGTGGCAGCTCAGATTGCTGGGTGGGAAGAGGTTCCTCTGGATGGAGGTCTTCTCCCTCTCTCCCTTTTTGCTCATTTTCAGGCTGGGAAGGCTCAGCTTCACCCTAATGAAGCCAAGGATAGCCATCTGAGCCAGAGGTAGAGCCCAGTTCCACAGCTCCTTCGGCCACGTATCTTTATCTCTCTAGACAGAGGTGCTGCTCCTTGGGAAGGCCTCTCTAACCAGTTTGCAGTGGGGCATATGGGATAACACCTTGGGTTAGGAGCACCACATGTCATCTTCCACAGCAAATACCCCAAGGATGTGACAGAGCCAAAGGGCTCGGAGCATTCCTCAGCCCTGGTGCCTTTGGTTCTTTTCTTAAGCCCTGCCTGGCTGTTACTGCTTCTTGCTGCGTGGGCAGGGGCCTTGCAGCACAGAGGAGATGTGCTTGTGGGAACAGCCCTGCTCAGACCAGCCCTGGGCTTTACAGAGCCTTGGAGGGGCTGGGGAGGGGGCTGGCTGGGCAGCGTGGCCTTGGGCTGCTGGCTGGAGCTGGAAGGACTGAAGTGACCATCCGGTTCCCACAGCTGAGCGGTGCTGGGCTCTGCGGATCTAAATAAAACACTCAAGTGCCTGGAGTTGGAACCTGCTGTGGATTTGGCGTCTGACAATGCTGGGCTATGTAACTTGAATATAAAAGAAACCCTGAGCCGGAGTTGGCAGCTCTTAAATCAACTTCTACTTGTATTTTTCTGCTGAGATATGCCAGTAAATATTTTTAAAGACAGCTGATGGTGTCTTTGGGAAGATATTCTGTCACATACTACAAAAATCTTGCCCAGGCAAGATACAGATAAGGTCACACTTCTCGTCAGAGTTTAGGGGGCCACTGCTGCTCTCCATCACCAACGGCCTCTCCTGTGGCTGTTGGGAGTGCGGCCCAGCAGGACTGGGAGTGCCAAGGAAGCTGTGCTAGGCTGGTTGGTGACTTTTGTATTTGAAAAACAAAACGGATTTTATTTCTAGTCTGAATTTATCTGGCTTCATCTAGCCACCAAGTCTCAGTGAGCTTTTGTCAGCCAGATTAAAGTTTTTTCTGGAGTCAGGAGTCTCTTCTACTTGGAGGTACTTAGAGACTTCAAGACACCTTTGTCATTTTCAACATCTTTGCAGAGATGACCCAATTAGACCTCCTGAGCATCGGAGGTGGGTCTAATGCCCTCAGTCTTCTTCCTCTTCCACTTTCTTTTGCACCACATCCCTGCCTGGTTTAGTAGGCAGGATGCCTCTAGCTAGGAGGCTGGGAGCTACTTGGTTTTCCAGAAACACTGGAGGAAAGCAGCCACCAGACCTGCCACTATGGCCAGCACAATGAAGGAGATGGCACCTGCCCACAGGCTGGGCTGGTGCCCCTTGACCTGCTCCAGAGCCTCCGTGGGGATCATGTTGGTGAAGTTCAGCATGAAGCCCAGCGTCCATCCAATGTCTGTGTTTGCTGCCTGGGGTGAGAGAGCAGAGATTGTTCAAAAGTGTCTCTCCCAGGCACCAGTAGCTTCAGTGCAAGGGATTGACCAGCATCTCTCCCATGAGCTGCCCCAGCTGTGATTTCACACGTGGACCTGGCTGTGGTGAACCTGATCTTGCCAGCAGCAGTTACACACAGAGCTTTCCTGTCCCCCCTTCCCGAGGGCTAAAGGGCAGCTGAACATGGGTCTTTGAGCAACCTGCTCTAGTGGAGGTGTCCCTTCCCATGGCAGGGGGGTTGGAACTCATTGATCTTTAAGGTCCTTTTCAACTCTTAACCATTCTGTGATTCTGTGATTCTATGACTGCTCTGGCCCAGATGTGTCTCTGAGACCTGTGCGTGATTTTGGATCTGAGCTTTCTTACTCCCCCAACATGCTTCAAATTAGTCATATTCTGGTTCCAATGGGTCATGGGGCCACCATCACCCCTCTGATACTCAATTCAGTTCCACCCCACATCAGGCACAAAGAGGCCAAATCCTGCTCTGCCCTTCTCTGACCCCCTTAAAATTAGCTTAGGAGTAAGTGAGAAAGAAGCTGGTGCCAGGGGTTTGGGGGCAGGTAAGAAGGAATGGTGCTGTGCTGGGATCACTGGGCAGCAGCCATGAGACGGGGACATGGAGCACAGGGCATCAGGGATGCTGCTCCAGAACGTGTCTTCAGGCCAGGGCAAGGACACGGCCATGGCTGCCCGCTCGCCCCCGCGGCCCTGCAGGGGCTTTACCTGCCGGCTGAAGCGGATGCTGCTCCACGTCTGCTCATTGAACTTGTAGCCATCAAGCAGCAGCGTCAAGATGTACACGGCCACGGGGCAGTACGTGTGTAGGTACACCTTCTGCTGCGGGAAGGTCTCCACCAGCTGTGGGGCCGCCGGGGGACACAGTGCAACGAGGAATGAAAGAGATGCTCAGAAAGCCCAGGAACAGCAGGATGTGTGCTGCCTGGGCAGGGATTTGGGACAGGATGAGCACAGGGCTCCCTGCTGCCCTTTACAGGACTCTCACCTCTGCCCAGTTCTTCTTGCAGAAGGTCTCCACCGTGGAGTTGACATCATTTAGAGACTGCTGGCTGGTCAGGTTCAGGAAGTGGAAGGTGTGGTAGAACCCAGCGAAGGCCTGGGGGGCAAGGGGAGATGGTAAAAACTACAGCTCCTTCCTCACGCCAAAAAAAAAAGACCCAGGGGCCCCTGAAAGGGACTAGATGATCTCCAGAGGTCCCTTCCAACCCCATATCATTCTGTGATTCTGTGGAAGAGTCCCATGTAATTCCCAGGGTTCTGCATCCAGCACCCATTTGATGGCCTACCAGAAAGTCTTGAGCTGGTGGACAAGCCCTGGGGCTGCAGCTTCCACTCTGAACTACCTCAGACATTGTCCTTGGGACAGTATCTTCCCATTTCCCTCAGGGACGGCTAGGACACCACAGGAGGCAGAAGCCACCTCCCAGCATAGGAGAAGAGGTTTGCAGACAGGACCAGCTCTAAGGTCCCCTCCCTCCCCACCCCTTCCCACAATCAGTGACAGAGGAGACTCCCACCCTCCGATCTCCCCCCCCACATCAATGGGGACAAGGCTCCTTACGAAGAACTGTCCCCGCACGGGCGGCTGATAGACCCCGTTGAACCCGCACGTCCTGCTGGCCCCACAGCTGAAGTTGAAGAGTTTCTGGATGGCGGTCCTACATGCTGCTGGCTCCCCTGTCCCCGTCACCGTGAGGACCTGTGCAGGGCTGGCTGTGCTTGGTGCACGGACACAGGGACTGTTGTAGAGATCTGCTGTGGTGACCTTCTCCTGGTATCCCTTGGGGTAGCAGGGGTGGGATATCTGCTGGGGATTTGGGCTGCCCTGGAGAGAACAGGAGCCATTAGTGGGACTTGGCATTGGGATGCCAGTAGACCCTACCCCACAGCACATCCAGTGCTCAGACTTTCCCAAAAAGTGGGATCTAGGCCCTAGGAGGTTTTGAGGAGAAGCGGCATCCATCTTTTGCATGACTAACCTGCCCATGGCTTTTGCTGGTCCTGCTGTTGGCCCCACCGCTGAGCTGTGCTGGGCTGGAGATGCCACTGCCACCCCATGCCTCCCGATGGGGATGGCGACCTGCTCCCGAGGGCAGGACATGCTCTGCCTGCACGGAGAGCCCCTTGCCCTTGGCACTGGCCCTGTCCCCACTGCATCTTGCAGGCCCAGGCCCAGAAAGGACCAAAGATGCATCCCACCTGCATGGTCCTCAAGCATCTCCATTGCCCACAGCACTGGGCTGTGTGCTCTATCCGAGGTGAGACCGGAGGACACTGGTTAGTGGTGGAGGTGGACTTGTGTGCAGGAGAGCATGTTGGGAATCCTCTTCCCGGGCAGAAATTGAAGAAGGGCAAGTGAATGGGACAGGGAAGAACCTAAGGATGCAGCTGGACTTGGGAAATGATGAAAAATGCCATTATGTGTCAACACCTGGGGAGAAGGGATCCCAGGCAGGGAACCACCACCACCTTCTGCCCAAGCAAGAGATTTTTTGGCTTCAGTAGATAGAATTTAAGCCTCTCCCAGGTTTTTGAATTCGTGGAAATTCCCAATTCCCTAACGCTACTTCCACAGTGCCACTGTCCAAAATTTCTGGAAGATCTTTTTCATGGCAATGGAAATGGTTGAGTGGATCCTGGTGATCAGTGGTTGTGGTACCTCATGGAAAGCTGCCAGCAGCCTCTTCAAGGCCTGTGTCTGCCCATAGCAGAGGTAGCTGTGGGTGTAGAGCAGGTAGTCAGTGCCGTACAGCCTGAAGAAGACAGAGGTGTTGTTGTCCTCAATGGTGACTCCAGGCTGGAATGTTATTTGTGTTGAGGCACCTCCAAGGTCCAGAGCTCCCAAAACCTCAGTATCCTGTGGATGTTCCCATTGCTCTGCAAAGGAAAACTGGCCCCATAAGATGGCAAGTGTTAGTCTGAGCTGGAGGGAGTCACAGTCCCTGTGCCTAACCTCAAGGTTTTGTGGGCTCAGAAGCCCCCCAGGGACATTGCACTTCTTGTCTCCCTCTTTAACCCCTTCCTGCCTCTGTCCTCCTTGACCACATAGACCTCCATGTGGCCCCTTGGCTGCTGCACATCATCTGGGATCCAGAGACTTTGAGGGAAACAGTAACACATTCATCTGGGATCTGATATTGCTGCATCCCTGTGATACCAAAATGGACCCATGTGTAAGTGAGTGCACTGGGCCAGGCTGAGGTGGGCACAAAGACCCTTGGTTCTGTTAATCAATTAGTGGAGTCGAATCTGCCATTCACAGCCATAAGCTACCTTTGTTTGGGTGACTAGTGCCCTAAACCAACATTTTTCTCTCCTCTGGAAATAAAGAAGCCTGAGTGTAGCTCAGACAGGGATAATTAAGCTGCTCACCCATCCTCTGCCCTCTCCCCGAGCCCGCACCTTGACGAGTGTCTCCAGCAGGTAGTTGACGGTGATCCAGCCGAAGGAGCCCTCCTCGTTCCCCGTGAGGATCCGAGCTCCACGGAAGTCCACGGGGTACTCCCCAATGGCCTTGGCCACCTCGGCAAAGACCTGCTCGGCCTTGGTGCTGTTCTGCTCCCTGCCAGGGAAGGAGATCAATGCCGTGCGCTGGAGGAGGCACTGCCTGGGCAGCTCTCGGAGCAGGGCAAACAGCAAGAGGCTGCCGCCTTCTGCAAAGCCCCGGGGCTGCTCAGAGACAGGGCAGAGCCCCCCATCCCTCAGCTGGGGTGTCGGGAGGCCCCTGGCGATGCCGCCTGCGGGCTCTGCCTCGGTGTGTGGGAAGGTCAGTGCCGCTCTGCCACAAGAGGCTCATCCACCGCCGGGGCTGCTGCCAGCCTGGGGCTGGGGGGGCTGGGGGGGCTCCCCTGGGCACGGCCAGCCCTTGGACCCCCTGGGGGACTGCAGACGTGGCTGCTCTGCCCATCACCATGGACTGCCCGGGCAGCAGCTCACCATAACCCCAGCTCCCCGTGCCCCAAGGCCCCCATGCCCCCAGCCCACCATAACCCCAGCTCCCCGTGCCCCAAGCCCCTCATGGCTCCAGCCCGCCATAACCCCAGCTCCCCGTGCCCCAAGGCCCCCATGCCCCCAGCCCACCATAACCCCAGCTCCCTGTGCCCCCATGCCCCCTCCCAGCCCCTGCACCCACTACGATGCAGAAATGCCCCGTGGGGAAGGGGCTGGGGGTTCTGGCTCCAGGCAGCGCTGGTACCTCAGCAGCCGCATGCCCGCTGTGGCCCCCAGGTAGGTGGGGGTCTCCCGCTGCTGCTCTGCCGGCACGATCGTCATGGCCTTGTCCAGGCAGGGCTTCAGGCTGGCTCCAGCCCCAGCGGGGTTGTCTGCATAGCTGGAGATGCCGGGTCCTGCAAGAGGGCACCCCGAGATGGAGCGAGCTCAGTGCCACCCAGGAGGGAAAGGACACCAGGGGACGCATCCACCCTGAAAGTCCTCAGGGTTTTTCCCCGCGTACCCAGGCTAGTCATGCCCTTGCCAAGGGTGTCCCTGGAAGGGCAGTTCTCCAAGCTGGCCCACCATGGCTCGCTGTGGGAGTGGGCAGCAAGCTCCTGCTCCAGACCAAGGAACAGGGCTGAGTGTGAGTCTTGTGATGTTGAGCACATGCTGAGTCCCAGGGCAGCCCAACCGCTCGCAGGCGGCCAGTCCGTCCTGCTGGTCCCCATTTCCCTGGGGATGGGGCAGGTGCTCCTGTGTCCTGCCGGGAGGGTGTGCAGAGCCAATAGGGACACACAGAGGTGCCCTCTGCACCACTTATTTGAGTTCCTATTTCCAGAGGCTTGTACTCCATCTGGGCACCCTGCTAGGTCCTGTGGTGAGTAGGGACAGGGTTTGGGGTAGAAAATCAGTATTTACCTTCCCCTGAGCTTTGCACACTATTGCTGCCATTAGCCCAGGCACCCTCTCCCTTACCCTTTGCCCTCTGCCAGACCTCTGCAGTTAACCAGTAACTGCCACGCCACTGCCACAGAGCCCAGATGGAGGTTGAGGAGAGCTCCAAGCCCTCTCAATCCCTGCCAGGCACCCCTGCCCTGGCCTGGTGGCCTTTTCCAGTCCCAGCCCAGCTCCACATCCCATTTAGCTGACCCTACCCCCCCTTGCTAGCCTGGTCCTTTCCTCCAGAGAAACCAGACCTTGTGCCAATGCTCAACAGCATCTTAGCAACAGCAAAAAAAATCCCCTTTCCGTATTTATAAATGTCCAATAAATAAATGCCCTTCGGGTCATTTACCACTTACCACACCTGGCATGAACCAGTCAGCTCGCCCTGTGGGACAGCCACCCTGGCCCATGCTGGCTCCAGCCAGGCCAGTGTCCCCCCACTGGACAGGGACAGAGAGGGACGGACACGTCTCTGCACACTCACCGGACACGGTGCAGGCCTCCACCTGGGAGACGATGCCGGTGCCGTTCTCCTTGTCCGCGGGCCACCGGTAGATGTAGAGAGACGTGTGTGTGGAGCCGGCGTCAAACACCAGACCGTACTGGGGGAGGCAGAGGGGACACGGGGTGTTGGGGGGCACAGAGCAGCTTCCCCCGCTGCAGAGCAAGGGGAGCTCCTGGTGGCCATGGCAAACTTGAGTGGCCAAAGGAAGGGTGTCACTAGAGCATGGAAAGTCCTGTGGCATTGCAGCCACCAGCTGTGCCAGGGACAAGGCTCTGCCACAAGCCCTTTGAGCTGGCAATGCCCTGCGATGCGAAGGCTGTATCTGCTGTGGGGCCAGTCACAGTGACCATGCTCTGCCAGACCCACCTGGCGTGACAGCCTGCATGGGAGTTTGTCCCCATCGCGGTGACAAAGAGCCCAGGCTGCCTGAAACCCGGGGAAATCAAGGGGCAGCCAGCACCCAAGAGACAGCGGGCAACTACACTCCTCCTGAGGACCCTACCTTGGTGCTGGGAGGCAGAAACACGTCCTTCACGTTCACAACGCTCAGAATGAGGGCAATGATGCTGAAGACGCAGGTGGCTGCCAGTAGACCCGCAATGGCCTTGGCTTTGTAGTCCATTCCTCCTCCAATCTGCAAGAACAGCCCCCACCCCCAGCTCACACCTCTGTGTTGGTAAAGCTAGTTTTGAAATGCAAACCTCATGGATGGATAAACCCATCAGATGGGACTTTCCCCTTCCCTAACAAGGGCTTGAAGCCATTCTGTGGTGCATGGCTGCTCCATGGGAGGGTCTTGGGGCTGAGACACCTTCTCCTTGTGAGCACTCCCTCCCCAGGGGATTGTCAGCACGGCTTTTTCAGCCCTGCCTTCTCAATTGCAGCCCTTCAGGTCGCTCTCACGCAGAGGACCACATCCCTCTGCCCTGCTCCAGCTACCAGCTGGGTGGCAGGTCAGCATCCCCCTGCCCAGCAGCAGCACTGGGGAAGCATGGCAGTAGCTAACAGGAGTCCCAGCCTGGGAGAAGGACCACCCTCTGGCAGCTTCCCAGTGTGGCCATCCCCTCTGGGGTGCAGAGCCACATACCTCTGCCACCCACATGGGACTGTAAAGTCACATCTGCTGCCCAACAGGCCCAGACTGCCCTCGTGAGGGTCCCTCTGCTCCAGGCAGGGAACAGCATCTCCAGCCATGTGTCTCCTGCCTGACCCAGCTCTCCTCGGTTCTTAGTGATGCCACAGCAAGTAAGCAGAAGTGCAGGGTAAGTGTCCTTGCCTGCAGGTGGTCCCCAAGCCTCTCCTGCAGCCCCAAGGGCAGGCAGAAGGGCAGAGGCAGAAAGCTGCTGCCAGTCTGCACACACAGCCCCGTAGCCAAGCTGGCACGCTGACAGGCACGGACAGGCAATGCCAGTGGAAGAGCCCCTGGGGACCAGAGCAGGTCCTGCACCTCCTGCTTGTCCAGCTGGAGCTCAGCTCCTGGCAGAATCAGCCCTGAGGTATCAGTAAGAAATTGCAGCAGAAAAGCAAAGCCAAAGGGTCAGGTTCTCTGCAATGGCCTCAGCACACGGCAGGTGACACGTCCCCCTGCTCAGCACCCCACAGCTGGTCCGGATGTGGCTTTCTACATGCACAGCTCTTCCCTCCTCCTGCCCTGCTCTGTGCCGCCAGCAGCGTCCCCGTGGGGAGCCAGGCTGGTGTCCCTCCATGGCATTAGGCTGCAGCTGGACTCCAGCTGTGCGGTGGATGCCCAAAAGCCCTGGGCACAGCCTAGAGAAGCCGTTCAACCCAACCAGAGCTTTGAGGTGGCACCTGCGGGCTGTCATTTGGCTGTGTAATTCTCCTGTGAATACATAAAACCACGGAGAAATTCCCTTGCCCTTTCACCAGGCCAGGTCAGCGGCTGGAAAAGGAGAGGAAAGAACTTTGGCAAGGTCAAAGGAGGTGCTGATTCCTGTTTTGGAGTCAGCACCTCCGGTGACTAACACAGGTGACTAATCTCCTACATGATATGAGATGTATAATGATGGACAGTAGCTGTTCTTCTGGCCCATGTCATGGGACACAGGACTACCGGAAACCCTTATCAGATCCTATCCTACAGCCAGCAGCCCTGTTTGGTGGGTAGGGCCAGAAGAAATCATACGGAAGCATATGATGAATCCTTGTATTGTCACATCTACAGTCTTATCAGCCCTGCTAGAATTCCCCCACATATAACTGTTTTATGGATGTGATTCCCATGTTTCACATAACACAGTAATAGCAAAGGTCCCCAGCCCAGCCCCATCCTGGAAAATTCTGTCCCAGGCACCATGCGATGGAACAATATGAAATGGTGACAAATTGCACTGTCCTGCCCGTGGGAGTGGGTGGGAATTGGGCTCCAGTTGCTCTGTTGGGACAAATTTCCAGTTCGGCTGAGTAGGAGGCAACATCCAAAGGCAGCCCAGAGCCAGCGGTGCCCGGGGAGGAGAGCAGGGCACAGGGAGGGGGCCCAGCGGGTGGAAAACAAGGCAAGAGGCATGTGAGAAGCTGATCCATCTGCCCAGCCTTTCAGTGGCACCAGGGACTGGCGGGAGCTGATGCCCACTACTGTAGGTGGCAGGTTCAGGGGAGGTGCTGGTGATGCCTCCAGGGCTAAAGAAGAGGCACGTCGTGCCTGGTGCCACGAGAAGCAACACCTGTACAGTTCCACGTGTGGAAAATTCACAGCTGTGCACAGCGCTTGGGCCATTGCTGCACTTGTTTGTGTACAACTGGGCACACCGAAATGCTCCACAAACACCCGCAGGACGTCCCTCACCTTGCAGCAGCCCCCGTGGGGAGGGACAGAGGGGGCCAAAACATTCAGGAGGAAAGGCTCAGAGGCACAGCTGGATCTAAACTCTCTGTTTCTCAGGAAAATGGGAATTTGACTTCCCCACCATGCACATTTGAGATTTGAAAGTAAAAAGGGCTATTAAAATTATAAGACAGAGGGTGAACATGTGTGCCAGGAGCATCTCTGCCAGGCACAGCGGTTCCCTGCCTCCCACCAGCGCTGGGACTCCGTGCCATCCACGTCCCCTCCTTGCCCCTCTGCCCCCGCACCGTGGGCGCCTCATGCAGTGAGTGGCCACCCCAGCCCTCTCCCTCGTGCTCCTCCAGCCCATGGAGCATGTTTATCCCAGCACCTGGCTCTGCTGCTGGCCAGGGCTGAGCCCACTATGGCCCCTCCGAGCACAGCTCCATCGAGGGGCACCCCAGCCCCCTCCCCTGCCCAGGGCTCACCCAAAGCTGCTCCGGGCACCGTCGTCCTTGCCCCGGTGTCAGCGCGTACCTGGCGTGTGAAGCCCCGCTCCTGGGACAAAGGCTGCCCCGAGTCCCCGGTACGGCCGTCCCCTTGGCCCCAGACCAACAACCTGCCCAGGAGAGCGTTTGTCCAGGAGGGAGTGGGGCTGAGGCTGGAGAGCCAGGGTGGAAATAGCGCCTGGCGTTAACCACTTCGCTGCCGGAGGAGTGGGTCTGCCGGGGGGACCTCTACTTATGGGGGCGGTGTGAAGGCCCACACTGCCCGGCAGGGCCTCAGTAGGGGGCAGCTCCCCATGAAGCTGATGACAAGCCCAGCCTGTCCCTCTGCCCCTCGGGGAGCGGGCTGGCCCCAGGATGAAGGCAGCAGCCGGCATCCCTGCCCCAGCCCTGCTGTGCGGACACACTGCGAGGCAGAGCATGGTCCAAGCCTGCCACCCCACAGCCCTGCTGTCACCTGCCTGCGCTGTGCCCCGTGCTGCCCCACTGCAGGCAGAGACAGGCTGGCACAGGAGCTCAGGACAGACACAGGAGGGACCTGGCAGGTGGAGTCCTGTCCCCATGGCAAAGGGCCTGTCCCTACAGGCAGGGACCCATTTTTCCCCATAACCAGGGACCCTTCCCCACAGGCAGGGATCCATTTGTCCCCATAGCCAGGGACATGTCCCCACATCCAGGGACCCACCCTCCATCAAGGATCCCATCCCCACAGCCAGGGACCCACCTGTCCCCATGCCAGGTACCTGTTCAGCCAGGGACCTGGTCCTACAGCCAAGGTCCCAATCCCCATGGCCAGGAACCCACCTGTCCCCATGCCAGGTACCTGTTCCCACCGCCAGCTACCCATCTGTCCCCATGGCCAGGGACCCATCCTCATGGCCAGGGTCCTGTCTGCCCCACAGCTGGTGACCCACTTGTCTCCACGGCCAAGGATTTGTCCCCACAGCCATTCCCATCTGTCCCTACGGCCAGGGACCCATCCTCCCAGCCAGGGACCCCCCTGTCCCCATGGCCTCGGACTTGTCCCCGTGGTCCCACCGCCAGCTACCCATCTGTCCCCATGGCCAGGGACCCATCCTCATGGCCAGGGTCCTGTCTGCCCCACAGCTGGTGACCCACTTGTCTCCACGGCCAAGGATTTGTCCCCACAGCCATTCCCATCTGTCCCTACGGCCAGGGACCCATCCTCCCATGTCCCCATGGCCTCGGACTTGTCCCCGTGGCCAGGTTCCCACCTGCCCCAGCCCCCAGCCAGGGACCCCCGTGAGCCCAGGGCCCATCCCCACGGCCAGGGTCCCGCCTGTCCCCGTCCCCCAGCCCGTGTCTGTCCCACAGCCAGGTTCCTGTTCCCGCTGCCAGGGACCCATCTGTCCCCATGGCCAGTGACCCGTCCCCGTCACCCATCGCCGCGGGGCGGTGCGGGCAGGGTGCGGGCAGGAGCTGCCGCCGAGAGGCCCCGCTCCCCCCGCGGGCACCGCCGAGCCCCCGCCCCGGCCCGGCCGGCTCCAACCCGGACATCCGAGTCCCGGGGCGCCGGCGCTTTCGCTTTGCTCCGGGGGCTGCGGGCAGGGCCGTGCAGGCAGGAGTGTGCGGGGAGGGGTGTGCGGGGAGGGCAGGCAGGGCTGTGCGGGCAGGGGTGTGCGGGGAGGGGTGTGCGGGGAGGGCAGGCAGGGCTGTGCAGGCAGGAGTGTGCGGGGAGGGGTGTGCGGGCAGGGGTGTGCGGGGAGGGCTGTGCGGGCAGGGTCAGGCCGGCAGGGCTGCCCTCAGACCGTGCTCGGGGCACAGGCAGGGCCGGCTCGGTGCACCCAGGCCCGGGGAAGGAGCGGCGCTCCCAGCGCAGGTACGGTGGGGGCCGGCTGGGACCGTGTCACCCCCGTCCCATCCCAAGCCCATCCACAGGGCAGGTCCCTGGTCCTCACACCCGGCTCTGTATCCCAGGGGTCGTTTAGGGGATGCGGGGTTCCTGAGCTGCTGGGACCCCAGGAGGAGCTGGAGGGACAGGGCGGGCGGGTTGCAAAGACCGTTCCTCACCACAGCCTGGCACAGGGATGCAGAGGTGCCTGCTCAAGGCGATAGGATGGAGCTCAGCAGCCGTGCTGGGAGGGCTGGGGGTGGCCGTCTTCCTCCTGGTCCTGACCCCTGCGAAGGATGCTGTTCTTCCTACGAGGAACAAAGTAGGTGCCCAGGGAGACCTGGGGGAGCCCGGGAATGACCACCGGTCACTTTCCACTTCTTATCCTTCCATCAGCTCTGCCTTCCTCTCTGCTTGCACTTTCTGTTCTCCATTTTCAGACACCCAGGTCACATGCTGGGTTTCTATCTCTCCCCTGTTGCTTGCTGCTGGCTGACCGCTAAAAAACAGTCAGGGTTTGTGAGATTTGCTGTTGCTCAAGGCCTGGGAGCAGCTTTGACAGCCTGGGCCCTTTGGGACATGCCTGGATGCTCTGCAAACCACCCTGCTGACCTGCACTTCTTCCCTTTTGGAGCTGTAACTACCCCAAATGGCTAAATCAGGGGGTTTAGAGATGGAGTAGGGCTGCTAAAGGGAGGTTGGATGTGCAAATCTGCGCTGCTCACGTTCAGACATGGGAAGCAAGAACAGAAGCTCTCAAAACCCCCTGTGGTACCTGGTGCAGTCCTGAGCATGCCGTGACCCCGTGTCCCCTCTGCCTCCCCCAGTACGGTCTGGTGTTTGACGCCGGCTCCACACACACGTCTCTCTACATCTACCGGTGGCCCGCGGACAAGGAGAACGGCACCGGCATCGTCTCCCAGGTGGAGGCCTGCACCGTGTCCGGTGAGTGTGCAGAGACGTGTCCGTCCCTCTCTCCCAGCCTCCTGGATCGCTGTCCCAGGCTCTCCCAGCATGGCTGGTGATCTGAGTCTTCCATCCTGCGCTGGGCTGAAGGGAAATGGCCTGGGGGAAGACCCAAAGTGAAGTGTTAGGGGGTGTAGTTTGCACTTCAGTGAGCCCTACAGTAACGGGGGGATCCAGAGGTGGGTAAGGAATCTGGCACCCAGTTAGCACGGTTCCTGGAGCCAGTCCAGTCTTGTAGCCAGTGGTTGTGGATCAACTCACAGCCTGTAATGCTGGATGTGCAGAGTCAGCTCCTTCTCCCATGCAACCGCTTCCTTTGCCCTTCTTCCCACACCATCTCTTCAGAGATACTTTCATAACGTAGAGCTTCTTGTTCCCATGGGGCCTCCTAAAAGCTCTGCAGAAGTCCCTAAACATCACTGTGTTTCTGCTGGTTTTTTATGTGCACTTCCTAACTGCTCCGTGGGTCAGCAGTTTCCATTTTGTTATCTGTAACAGCACCAAACACAATGGAGTTTTGGGCAGTGACTGGGACATCTGGGTATTGCCAAGGTGGTCCAGAGAGTTCCCTGGGTGTCCCCTGGTGTCCTTTCCCTCCTGGGTGGCACTGAGCTCGCTCCATCTCGGGGTGCCCTCTTGCAGGACCCGGCATCTCCAGCTATGCAGACAACCCCGCTGGGGCTGGAGCCAGCCTGAAGCCCTGCCTGGACAAGGCCATGACGATCGTGCCGGCAGAGCAGCAGCGGGAGACCCCCACCTACCTGGGGGCCACAGCGGGCATGCGGCTGCTGAGGTACCAGCGCTGCCTGGAGCCAGAACCCCCAGCCCCTTCCCCACGGGGCATTTCTGCATCGTAGTGGGTGCAGGGGCTGGGAGGGGGCATGGGGGCACAGGGAGCTGGGGTTATGGTGGGCTGGGGGCATGGGGGGCTTGGGGCACGGGGAGCTGGGGTTATGGTGAGCTGCTGCCCGGGCAGTCCATGGTGATGGGCAGAGCAGCCACGTCTGCAGTCCCCCAGGGGGTCCAAGGGCTGGCCGTGCCCAGGGGAGCCCCCCCAGCCCCCCCAGCCCCAGGCTGGCAGCAGCCCCGGCGGTGGATGAGCCTCTTGTGGCAGAGCGGCACTGACCTTCCCGCACGCCGAGGCAGAGCCCGCAGGCGGCATCGCCAGGGGCCTCCCGACACCCCAGCTGAGGGATGGGGGGCTCTGCCCTGTCTCTGAGCAGCCCCGGGGCTTTGCAGAAGGCGGCAGCCTCTTGCTGTTTGCCCTGCTCCGAGAGCTGCCCAGGCAGTGCCTCCTCCAGCGCACGGCATTGATCTCCTTCCCTGGCAGGGAGCAGAACAGCACCAAGGCCGAGCAGGTCTTTGCCGAGGTGGCCAAGGCCATTGGGGAGTACCCCGTGGACTTCCGTGGAGCTCGGATCCTCACGGGGAACGAGGAGGGCTCCTTCGGCTGGATCACCGTCAACTACCTGCTGGAGACGCTCCTCAAGGTGCGGGCTGGGGTGGGGGGCAAACGGGGTCCCCCTCCCTGCTGTGCTGTGCTGGGGAGGTGATACCCCTCTGGTCGCCCTGTGCTGGGTCCCCATGGGTAACTCCCGATGCTGGGCAGTGGTCCTTCTCAGGTGAGTGGATTCACCCTCCAGTAGAGGATGTTGTCGGAGCTCTGGACCTCGGCGGGGCTTCAGCCCAGATCACATTCCTTCCTGGGACCACCATAGATGACAACAGCACAAGAGCCCTCCTCAGGCTGTATGGGACCAACTACTCCATTTACACCCACAGTTACCTCTGCTACGGGCAAAAGCAAGCCCTGAAGATGCTCATGGCATCCTTACACCAGGTAACTGCCTCCAGCCTTGTGCTCCTTTGCCGCAGCCTGAGGCCTGATCTCACTGAGCCAGGCAGGCAGCAGCTGCTGGGTGTGATGGCCACTGGGCTCGGTGCCTTTGTGCAAACCCCCGTGAGGTTGGTGGATACAACAAGCCCACCATGGCAGGATTGAGCTGAGATAGAGATGGACACCCCAAAGCAGGACCCCAAAGCAGGATGCCTGGCCACAGGCACTGCCAGGATGGTGGGTGCCCAAAAGACCCCTGTCCCAGGGACATCTTGCCTACCAGATCTTAATCCGTGTACTGATGGAGGGGCTGTGTCAGCCCCGCCTCTGTCACAGGGGTCTGGAAGTACCCAGCCCTGGAGGAGGAACCTGCTGGGTGCTGGGAGGTTGGGGGAGACCCAGTGAGATTTTTTTGTACCAGTATGGCAGTAAGTTGGGTTTATGGATAGAAAGCTGAACGTGCTGGTCTTCACCAGTAGATGCTGGGCATGGGAGAGTGAAGGGAGGAGGTGTTGCTGAAGAGGGTGACCCTCATGGCAAAGCTTGGCTGTGGGGTGAGGACTCAACGCTGGCTCATGCTGATTGGAATGGGCAAAAGACCACGTCCAGAGCACATTGAAAGAGAAATCAATGTCTGTTTTGGTTTTACTTAAATGGCTTCTCAGCCTTGGCTCTCCCCTGAGTCTGGTGACCCTACAAAGGAAGAGTGGGGACAAAACAGGTCCACACTCAGCAGAAGGTGCAAACCCCCAAAGCCTTGGGCATGTGACCATCACTGGAGGTGGTCCATGACCACAGCATGATCATGCCATGCTTGTCACCACAATTCTGTGCCTGCACCCCATGGATGAAAGCCTGTGGGTGGTGGGGCCAGTAGGAATCCTCAGCACCAGGGCAATGCTAACGGCTCCCTCTCTCTCCAGGGCAGTCGGACTCCCCAGCAGATATCCCACCCCTGCTACCCCAAGGGATACCAGGAGAAGGTCACCACAGCAGATCTCTACAACAGTCCCTGTGTCCGTGCACCAAGCACAGCCAGCCCTGCACAGGTCCTCACGGTGACGGGGACAGGGGAGCCAGCAGCATGTAGGACCGCCATCCAGAAACTCTTCAACTTCAGCTGTGGGGCCAGCAGGACGTGCGGGTTCAACGGGGTCTATCAGCCACCCGTGCGGGGACAGTTCTTTGTAAGGAGCCTTGTCCCCATTGGTGGGGTGGGGGCATTGGGGTGTGGGGGGCACCAGAGGCTGCTCAGGACCCCAGGAAAGCTGCTGTAGGAGAAAAGTCTGAGTAGTGCCAGCCCCAAAAGCTGGGATGTGCCCAATGCCGGGGGACACGCAGGGTGCTGACTGTTGTGCCAGGCTGACCCAGACCCGAGTTGTCACAGCCCCAGCCTCTTTCAGTGGGGGGAGCAGTCCCAGGATCCCTCCCAGCGGGTCAGCAGGCATCACCCTTTGGTGCTGACAGGGGGCTGTAGGGACCCCTGCAGAGCACCCAGAGGGAGGGACAGGGGGTGGCAGTGGACTGAGTGCTTCACTGACCTGTCCCCTTTGCTCTTACACCCCCAGGCCTTTTCGGGGCTTTATCACAACCTTCACTTTCTGAACCTGACTGGAGGGCAGTCCCTGAGCTTGGTCAATGCCACCATTGAGCAATTCTGCAACAGCAGCTGGGAGGAGGTGAGATCCTGCCTAGGAGATGCCAGCCCCATGGTTCTCCTGGGCGATGGTCAACCAGAGGGCTCATCTGCAGCCCGTCTTCTGCTGTGCTGGGAGGGACCTGGGAGCAGCACAACAATCTCTGGACAGGGAGAGAGGTGGGAGAGCAGCCTGCAGCTTCCCGGGTCCTCCTTGCTCCCTGAGTCCAGGCGCTCCCAGGTCTTTGCTCCCAGCTGCACTGTGGGGCTCTTCCCCACAGCACCCCCCCAACTCTTCCACCTCCACAGGTGCAGAAGGAGTTCCCCACCATGAATAGGACCCAGCTCCGTGATGCCTGTGCAGCCACCTCCTACACCCTCACCCTTCTCCTGCAGGGCTACAAATTCAACCACACGACGTGGCTTAACATCCACTTCGTCCGGCAGGTAGGAAAGTGCCCGGCAGCCCCCCGTCACCCACGCTGTGTGCTGTGAAATGGCTCCACACCCACCCTGCCCCTGCCCCAGCCCTGCCTGGGTGGGGAGCAGGGGACAACGGGGCAGCGCGGTCACCGCAGTGCCCAGGGCAGCTCCTGAGTTACACTCACAGGTACCTGCTGGGACAGCTGGACATTTATGCTGTCCCCCAGCTTGTCTCACTAGCAGGTATCTGCAGCCCAAGGTATGCACAGAGACGGTGTCTGTGGAGCAGGACCTGGGGGTGCAACAGCAAAGGTCTTCTCTAGCTCTCCAGCTTGCAGGGTACTTTACAGCCTTTCACATGTCTCTTCCTTCTCTGTCTGCACAGGTGGCTAACGTAGACGTGGGCTGGACTCTGGGCTACATGCTCAATCTCACCAATATGATTCCCTCAGAGACTCCCCCGAGAGTCATAGGTCTCCAGAGAACCAACTGGATAGCAGCTACGGTTTCACTGGCCATCATGCTCATCCTCATCTTCTGCCTGCTCACGGCCATGTGCTGCCAGAAAAACTCCTTTGGTTATGAGAGTCTCTAGCAGCGCTGGCTCCAGGGGCTGTCAAAGCCACTTGGTCCTTCTGCCACGCTTGTGTGAGGAGCTGCAGACTGGGGAATCACCCCATGTGTCCAGGAGCTGTGAACTTGTGATGTGGAGCACCTGTGTCCTGGCCTGGAGAGCTGGGTCTGGCACAGGCTTTATAAAATCCTGCCTATAGCTGTGGGCTCCCTGGTTGTCCTTTCCTCTCGCTGCTGGTTGGAGATGCTCTAGGAGGGAGGGGGATGGGCATGTGGGGCAGAGGCTCAGCGCTAGGGGCATGGGGACTACAGTGATGTGGGGTGGCTGGAGATGATGGGACCAGTGAGTCAGGGAAGAGAAAAGGGGTGTCTGGCAGCAATGGGATCATCGTGGGGCTGGTTACAGCCTGCAGCAGATACCCCATGTGGGACAGATGTGTCCTACCCCATCCTGGGACAAGAGCCTGCATCGCCTGTGGCCACCAAGAGGGTGGTCAAACATTGGAACCAGCTTCCTAGAGAGGTGGTTGATACCCCAAGCCTGTAAGGGTTTAAGAGACATTTGGACAATGCCCTTAACAACATGCTTTAACTTTGGGTCAGCGCTGAAGTGATCAGGCAGTTGGACTAGATGATCATTGCAGGTCCAACTGAAACTGTTCTATTCTACTCTACTCTACTCTACTGCAGCCAGAGGCACAGAAGCAATGAGGCTGGGGCAGGGGGGGGGGGGGG